TAGCAAATATAATATCGGGCCCAATATACGCCACTGTGGTACCCCCGACTTGATATCCCTAAGCGAAGAGTACCCCTCTTCTTGTTTAACTCGAAATACCCTATTAGTCAGGTAAGATTCGAGCAGGTCAACATACTGCCTTGGTAGTAATCGCCTAAGTTTTTTTATTAATCTACAATGCCAAACCTTATCGAAGGCCTGGGCTACGTCCAAAAATATGATAGAACATACTGCTTTTTCTTCCAGTGAATTTTCTATTAGGTCAGTTATTCTATGAATCTGATTTATGGTTGAGTGGTTCCGGCGCGTAAGCATCGTTATACCCCTTTTGGGTAATTCTTTCAAAATATCGGCCGTTATTAGTTCAATCCTGGAGCCTTCCTAGGTTTAAGAGTCCTGATTTCTTCTATAACATCTCTTTCCCTGACAATTGGAATAGTCACGCTATCCCCAACAAAAGCAGATTCCTCATTTTCATACACACCCCGGCTGAAATGCGGGCAGAATATATCAGCCAAATGATCCGCAAACGCATTTGCCTTGTCCTTGTCAGTTTTTGCCCACGTTCCATCTTTGTTTTTAATAGGAGCGAGATGTTTGATAGGTTGCTTCATTTTCTTTGTTGCCCTCCACAGTGAGTAATTGGTTTTCTCACACGCCGTCAAATTTTGAACATAATCAGCAACCTAGTCCTCTTTGTATTTTCTAATACAGCGTCTTAGTTGCTGCGATTGATGATTATATCTGGTTTTACCAGCAGGATCACGCGTTTGCTGCCACTTTTTCCTCGCCCGTCTGCTTCGTTTTACTTTTGCTAGTATATGTGGGGGATAGTTAATGCCCCCCCTTCTAATAACGTTAAATTTGGAACTACACTGAGCCGCATTTTGAATAATTTTAGTAAAGTTTTCGGCCTCCTCATCTATGTGCTGGGTCGTTCTTATTCTTTTCCTTAAATCTATTTGTCGTTCAATCTCTAAGCGAAATCTTGACCAATCTGTAGTTCCATTTGTCAGCGCAGGTTTCGCTCTTTTCATAACTATATTTTCGTTAAGTACAAGAATAACCACCGAATGATCGGAGTTAAGGTCGTAGTTGTCATGCACCTCGATGAAATTTTTCGCAATCCGTTCCATTATGAAGAAATCTATTAAATCTATGGACACTTGTTAACATCGGTTGGCCAATACGTTGGCTTCGCAGTAGAGTGAAAAAGGCACCCCGTGCCCCCAATTGCTGTCCTAAGTTCTCTTCCTCTAGTTGAATTATGCCTTGAAGCCCAATAAGTGTGGTTGGCGTTAAAGTCACCCCCCAACATAAATCTATTGCCTAGGTCTGTCAGAACGTCTTGAAACATTTCTGCCGTAATTTTAAATCTGGGGTGACAATATAATGCAGCCACTCTAAATTTTTGCTTAGTCGAAGTAATCTGAACCGCTGTCATTTGCATTCCCTCGGTTTGCATCTGGTGCAGATCGTAATGTACCACATTTTCTTTTATTATTATCGCCGTTCCGCCCTTCGCTATATTTCCAGGATGGTTCGAGTTGTAAATTCTATAACCTAGAAACCGAATCCTGCTTCTTAAGGTCATATGTGTGTCAGTTACGAGGCACACGTCTATATTCTGTGTATGCAGAAAAACTTCAAGCATGTCCTTTTTATTTGCAATACCACTGCAATTCCATGATTCCATATTGCTATTTTAAAATTACCTCGTGCCATCATTTACCAGGTCTTTTGGTATTCGACTTTTTCCCTTCGCTCTCTAAAATGCTCAATCTCTGAGAGATTTTGTCCATCATATCTAGCATGTTCTGCATCATATTTTGCATTTTATACAAAACATTCACGCCACTGGCCCTTGCTTTATTGCTCGTGCCACCGTCATCAGTTTTCGTTTGGAGAACGTCCCTGTATGTTACATCTTTTGAGACTATTCTCGAAGTGAATTGCCTCGGTGGCCGTTCAGAATTCTTCAAGTTGTTGTTGCTGTTCTTATTTCTACGTTTTTGCAGTTCCTTAGCTACAAGGCATCCCCTATAGTTTGCTGGGTGAGCCTCCAAGCAATAAGCAGTACTCTTTGGCTTTCTACAATCTGATGTTAAGTGCGTGCCTGCACATTTAACACAATTCGGTTCTCTCTGGCAATATTTTTGTGTATGGCCATACCTTTGACACCTTTTACACTGCGGAATGGTCCTATCCTTTCGAAGTGCTTCTATCCTAACTTTCATCATGTTTATGTAGAGGCACCATAATGTTTTTCCCATTTTCTTTTATTGTTTTAATTTTATTGGTTACATCTAAGATCTTGTAACCCTAGAGCTTAGGTCTTCCTTTATATCTTCCGGTTTACAACTGGGGTGAAGACCCCTTACCATGACTTTTATTGGTCTGGCCTGCTTGTTTTCATAGGTATGCCATTCTAGTCCAGATCCATTCATGGCTCTAGTAAGATTCCTGTAGTCCATTTTGGAATTTACAACAAGCTTAAATTGATTGTTATTCATCATTTTAACCTTATAATTGATGTCCTTATTTTTCAATGTTGACTCTATTTGATTATAGTCAACCACATTAGTTATGACTACTGGAGGCGGCCTAGAGTTTTTCGTGACATCGCCTCGACTTTTGGAATCAGGAACATCCGCTTTCTCAGCGTTGATCGTCACCTGAACCACTTCCGGAGATGATTCCGCTTTTCGTTTTTTACTGCTCCTTTCTAGGAGGTGAGAGTCGAATTTGTTGGCAGAGCTGATGTTTTCAGACGGCATTTCCTAGCATTTTCAGCTTCACATGTTAGGAAAATGTGAGACTGACTAGGACCCATTCCAACTTTTGTCCCCATCAGACAGATTTGTAAGAATTTTTTTATTTAAAATTTGTAAACGTGCCAGTACTATGAATTTTTTTGAATTTATAATTCTTTGAAATAGACCAACATATTCCCAAATTAGTGTGAAAGTAGTGTGATTTGGTCTCGTAATAGTGTGAAAAACATATGAAGAAAATCTGAAATTGAGTGTTTACAATTAATTGAGTTAATCACATTTTTGTCTTTTGTCACACTTTTATAATTGCAGGAAATTAAAAAATTATAATAGGGTTACTTGTTATAAATCTTTAAAATGGGATAATAAATAAAATATCAAATAAATATTTTGTCGAAACTAAACATAAAAATCTCGAAATTAAAAGAAATTGAAAATTATAAAATTTGATAAACGAGCTTTTTTCTAACAAGTTAATATTTTCTTAATTAAGTGTATATAATAGTCGGTTTCATAGAATTTATTTACAAACAATTTTAAACGTTTGTTTTTTATCATTTGAGAATATCAAAAAATTTTAATTTTTAAATTGCCTAAGAAAGTTTTTTAAAAGCAACCTGTAATGCTTTTAAAATTTGATTTTCCCTGTGTAAAATAAATAAAATATATATTGAGAAGCTTCACTTTAAACGCAAATAATATTCCATTTAAATAATTACCATTTATTTTATTCTTTATGAATTTTAAAATACGTATACATATTTTTTAATATAAAAATTCAAAAAGGTTTACAATGTGTGTTTTGTTTATTACAGAAACAATCATCACTAGTTATTGTTAACATACAGTCAAACTCCTTCATCTCGTACTCTACTTACATATATCACACGAACTTTTTTCTAACTCAAACTATTTCAGTTTAGTTAGTATTTTGAAATATATTATTCATATGTTTCAGTTTCTCGAGCACGCATATCTTTTTAACTCGAAGTGAGTTTGGCACACAATTAATATGTTTATGTAAAATTTTAATAAGGAACTTATGTACGTAAAATATGAGTTATCAGTTTTTGACTTTTTAAAGTAAAGTACCAACAAGAAAATTAAACCAATGAATATCAAATCAATTTAATTACTGATGTCAAAAGTGAGGAAAAAAAAGATTTCAGTTTAAAATAGAATTCGGGGAAGTATCTCGCCAACAAAACCTAATTAAAAATAAAGAGTTCACCCAAACAAAGTGATGAGTATACTTTACCAAAACACGAAATTGAAGCATAAACATCAAACAAAAGGAATAGAATTTTTTCCGTCAAATGAAAATATGCAATACGAATACATATTAATGCATAGCACACAAAATATTAATGCAATATTGCATCTAAATAAATTCTACTTTATTGTAATTATTTATTTTATTTTCTTTATTGTTTTTTATGATTAAGAGAGCATATCTTAATTAAATATTGTATAAGTAAAAAAATATTTTTCGTATTTTTTATTGGGAATCCTCCTAACTAGAAGTTTCTTTACCTCGAAGCTTTTTTCGATACTTAGAGAGTTCAGGATATAGAAGTTCCACTGTAATTTCGGTATTTAAGTTGAAATTTTATGGTGGGCGTAAAAGTCAAACAGAAAAAGAAAATTTCTATATTTTTTTTCCTCATTTTTATTTAATCAGTTTAATTATAATTTGATTAGATAAAACGTGTTCTTAGTAAAACAAGGTATTGATTTGTAAAACATTTAACTCAAAACAATAAATATATGAAATAATAATTTAGTTTAAATAAATAGTTATTACATACTCATTTTGCTTTTTGTCTTTGATTTTAGAAATAAAAAAAAATTAGTGCAATGCAAAAGTGTAAGTATTATTGAAATAGTTTTGTTGGTAAAAAAGAATAAATTTGTAATTAAAAAAGTATGAGCGAAGTCAAAAAGTAAACATAAAATATAGCTGTGTATAAGAGTTACTTCAGCGTTGCTGCAAAAGTGAATATAATATTTCGGTGCTTAAGTATTGCAATGGCACAGGGTTGAATTTTACAAAATCTTTTACGTTTATTGTTAAATTAGTTTGATTTCAACTCTTGAATTTGGTTTTTGGTGGTTACTTTATAAACAAAAAATTATCAATATTTTAGCATTTATAATTAAATAGTTATCAAATTCTTATGTGTAATTATTCTCTTTAAATTTCATTTAAAATAATTTCTTTTTCAGGTTAACTAAATTGTGTCTCAAGCCTGGCCCAATTGGTAAGTTTTAAATAAATTAATCCTTCCAATTAATGAATTAATGAAATATATTGAGATCCAATTAATAAAATTATAATGTGATCCAATTAATGAAATATATCAAATGTTATCGAACAAGAATATGGTAAAACAACAAAAAGAATCTTGTTACGCTCTGCAATTTTCGCTCAAGATTGTTTTCATACCCGTACGGACGTATGTTCGCCGGTTATATTGCATTTGCCTTACCATTTGTTTCGCTAAGAAATAACGGCCTGTAATCAAGAATAATGTAAACTCAAGTATATATTTTTGACCAACGTCGAATTCTGAGTAGATTCAAACATGTTTGCCCTTCGCCCGTTCCAGCGATTATTCAAAAACTAAATGAGCTAAGCTCTCAAGATTTTCACAAATGATTTATAATAGTAAATATCAAAACTCTATTTAAATTGGCTGTGATCGAGGTACTGGTTCGGGTAGCTACCAAACAACTTTTAAATTAATTTTTTATATCTCAGAAATTGATGATCGGAATTCAAATGAAAATCTTCTTCCAAGTTTGCTGGAATTCTTTAGATATAAAAAAATTAATAAGATCCGGAACTTTTTTAGCATCAGTAGGCTAATAAATCGAACCGCCATGTTCGATTTATTAGCCTACTGATGTCTAAAAGACATTAACAAATATCCGGACGGACGGTCGGACGGACGGACGGACGGACGGACAGAGTGAAACTAATAAGCACTTTTTTTTCAAAATTTTTTTGGAAAAATGCTAAAAAGTAATTTTCCAAAGAAAAATATTAGGGTTTTAGGTTTTTAAAAAATCTTAAGAAAACTTTGTTGAAGAATTTCAAGCTTTGATTTTTAAACGAAAGATTAATTTAGAAAAATATTATATTATTCTTTCTAAAAATTATATAATTTAAAAAATTTTGTAAAAATAGGACATATTATAAAGTTTCTGTTTTGTTGTGAATTATCACAATAAAATTATGAAATATAATTGTGAAATAATGTTTTTTGTGAACAAGTAAAAATACTGCTTTTATAAACAATCTGGTTATGTACTACATTCAAATTATTTTCATTCATATACGAATGTATTTCAAAATTGCATACATTAAGGATGACAATGTCAGCAATCTTTGATATAAAACAAAAAAAAAAATTGAAAAAGGCTTTAACCTAATACTCGAATTTAAAGGTTAATTAAAGAAAAATAATTCTATTTTTTGATTACATGGCATTAAAAACTATAATTATTTTTTTTTAATTGAGCTTTCTGCATTTGTAGAAATTAGTAAAAGCTTGCATTTTCGGAAATATAAGGTGCCACAAGTTAAAATTTCACAAATTTCAAGAGGCGATAGCTTGAAAAGGGTGAGATAGAAAAAAATTTCTTCTAATGAAGCTTCTTAAATTTCAAACTCCTAAAACGTACGGTTTAAAATGAAAACAATATCAAAAAATCGAAAAAACGGGCTCAAGATGACAGTTAATTTTAGCAGCCATTTTGTTTTTTTAATATTTAGTTATGCTATGCTGCGTTAGAAAAAGCCCCATGCTACTTTCCTGCGTTAACAAAATTTGAAAAATGTTTATGGTTTCCTTTATGTGTATGGTCAAAAAATAGCATGTTTAGGTCTTTGAGGGGCTATAACTTTCAGAGGGGGGAGAGATAGGTAAATATTTTCTTGCACGGAAATAAGTTTTTAATAAAGATCTATGTACGTATGAAATTTCTGCTTTCTATCTGCAAGGGTGTATTATACGTCAGATATTTCTGAAATTTTAGAGGAATTGCTATACAGATTCTGATAGCTGCCATACAACTCCAAAAGGTACTTTCAAATATTTGAAAGGCAGATTTATGAAACTTAGCAATCGTTTGCCCAATTTTAGGAAAGATATAACCCTGAAGTTTTGGTGGAATTACTTGACACGTTCAGGTACCTGACATACTACTCCAAAAGAAAATTTTAAATATTGTTATAATAAAATTTTATATATCATGACACTTGTCAGTCTTGTATCCACTTATATGTAGGTCGGACATATTATCACGGAAGTTTCTAATGAGTGTTTTAACAGGTTCTAATAATAGCCATTTAGCAATGAAAGTTAATTCTAGATATTGCAAATACAAATTTTTAAACTCAGATTTCTAAAGTGCAGGGTATTATTCTGTCGGTTTACACTGGCTGAAACGGTTTTACTTACGTACTACCTATTTTGTAAAATTAAACTGTTATCATTTTTATACCCGTACGAACGTATGTTCGAAGGGTATACTAAACTTGCCTTATCGTTTGTAACGCTAAGAAATAATGTTCTGAGATATAGACTCAACTGTATGTTTTTGATTAGCGTCGAATTTTGAATCGATTTAGCTTTGTCTGTTGTCCGTCCCAGCGATTACTCATAAAATAATTGAGCTAAGTTAACAAAATTTTCACAAATGATTTATTTTAGTAAGTGCCGTATTTAAATTGGACATGATCGGGGTACTAGTTCAGATAGCTGCTATACAACTTCAAAATTTATTTGGCTATATCTTAGAAGCTATGAAAAATGTGATATTGAAATTTCACACAAGTAAATATATAAGTAGGGCCAATATGTTTAATAAAGCTCGTTGAAATTTCTTGGTTTCTGGTAGCTGCCATACAACTTCAGAAGTTATTGGACTATATTTCAGAAACTATAAAAACCGTTATATTCAAATTTCATACTAGCAAATATATTAGTAGGGCCAATATGTTTGATAAAAATTGTTGAAATTGCTTGGCTCCTTATGGTAGCTGCCATACAACTTCAAAAGTTATTTGGCTATATCTCAGAAACTATAAAAACTGTGATATTGAAATTTCACATAAACGAATATATTAGCAAGGTCAATGTGAATAATAAAAGTCATTGAAATTGCTTGGCTCTTTGCGATAGCAGCCATACAACTTCAACTGTAGCTTGGCCATATCTTAGAAAATATTAAAAAGACAGTACTGAAATTTTGCATTAATTAATATGGTAATACGACAACTGGAAGTCATAGCCTGTCCAATAGTCATCTATGGCATATTTAATATATCAAACTCGTGCGGGTATCACAGAGTTGACACGGTCAACTTTGTTTTTCCTCGTTTTTATTGAAATAAAAATTATTTGATACTTACATATATACTTACATAAATATGTAAGTATGAACATTATATAGCTAATTTTTTGAAATTGTTATACAAACTTTTTTTCCAGTTTAATTTCCATGTAATAATTTCTATGCATGTTTACATAAGAAAATATATAATTTTTAAAAATTGGGCTATTATATGTTAGTGTAGGCCTTTCGCTGACAAATTCAAAACATACATAGACGTCGTTGAAATATACTTTTAAAAACGCCTAATCATTGCCGTACTTTAATGTCCCAATCTTTTAAAAACATATAAAAATGTTTCAGTCAACTTTAACAGATATAAATTGTAAATATATCTTGGCAAATTTTTATTATAAAATCAAATCCTAGCGAACTAGCTGAAAAAAATTTAATATTTTTTTTTCAACAGGTTGTAGCTCGAAAATGAGTATATGTCCCCTTGGCAGTTTTTTGCTGGGAATTGATCAAAGACCTTATGCGAAACCTGTATTTCAGAATTTAGGTCATAAAATTGAATAGAAATTTAAATTTTTTTTAATTTTATTTAAAATGTAAAATGCAAAATATTTGAAGTTAAATGAATAAGAGTGAAAGAGGCATATGACTAACAAAACAACAGAAAAAAAATTAGTTCAAAACTGCGAATATTCGTTTACATTTCTTATGTATGTGTGTATACTATTCTAAATTACGTTATTATTTTCACGTTCATTTATTTTATGATATGTTCATTTATTTTTCCTTTTGATTTTTGTTTTTTCTTATTCCGGTCATTCTCACACTATTAAATGCTTTTTGCTAAAAAAATTGGTTTTCAAATGGAATATAAGGGAAGTTAAAAAAACATGCGCTTTATTTGTTGCTTGTTTTTTTTGACATTAAGGACCATTTAAATTTTCAATCTGGTTTATTTTATCACATTTAATATTTGTTGTTGTTTTCACGTGGATTTTATGCAATTTTCTTCAATTACGATAATTATAAACTTGGCTTGTAATTAGTGTAAAATGTTTTGTATATTATTTTAACTATTTTCGGAATTGTATGATAAATAAATTAATTATTTTCAAAATCATAACGTCTGCTGTTTAGTTGTAAAAAACAAATTCATAATGAATAAATCTAGATATTTTAATCAATTTATACTGTGCAAGTTTATTATCAACGGAGGTACTGTAATCGCTTAAAATTTGGAAAAATTTCAAAATACGGAATTTGTGATAATTTAATTCTATGAGTTCTATAAGAAATTTTAAGATAAATTATGTCATAAAGTAGTGAAATAGACAACTTTTGAAATATTTTGGGTCCTAGCAACAAGCTTTTTTTCTAAGACTAGTTGAGATTCGTTTCAATTTTAAATTAGTCTTCGAATTCAATTTACTTTCTCACTATGCATAATTGATGCAAAAAAAATTTTATTTTAATATTCATATGAAATTTCGTATCTTCCCCAGATAATTTAATTACCTGTATTAAATATCGTCTCATATTATTATTTTTTCCTTTTTTTAAGTAAAAAAAAGTTTAATATTTTAAGATATTTCACGATATTATACACACTTTTTAAAAAGCTTCATTTATAAAATGTTTGAAGTAAGCCATTGAAATTCTATTGAACGTTTATTTTTCGTTCAATGCAGAAAGAAAAATTAAAATATTGTTAATATATATATTTAAGTATGGCTTCAAATATTAATGAGAAGAAATGTATGATTTTTTAGCCTTTTTCCGAACATTTTTTTTAAAAAAAGTGCTTATTAGTTTCACTCTGTCCGTCCGTCCGTGCACTTTACTAGAAACTTATTTCCGTAGAACAAAATTTTTACCTATCTCCAGCCTTCTAGAAGTTATACCACTCCAAAACCCTAAAAATGGCCTTTTTTAACTATTTTTTGCAATGAAACCATAAACATTTTTGAAATTTTGCAAACGCAGAAAGGCAGTGGCTTGCTTCCCCTAGCGCGGTATACTATAGTTAATATTTAGAAAAACAAAATGGCCGTTCAAATTTACCGTTATCTAAAGTTCTTTTTTTCCAAATTTTTGATTTGGTTTTTCTTCTAGACCCTAGCCTGTAGAAGCTTGAAATTTTAGGTTCTTTTAGAAATTAACAAATAGTTCATTTCGTTAGAAGAAAATTTTTTTCCATCTCCACCCCCTCTCAAATTATCGCCTCTTGAAATTTGTAAAATGAATTTTTGACACTTTATGTTTCCGTGTTTCCGTTTACAAAATTTCTGCACCCTTAAAGATAGAAAGCTGAAATACGTAGTTTTCGTACTTACGTAGATCTTTTCTTTCGTAGATCTTTACTAGAAACTTAATTAAAAAAGCAAAATGGCTGCTAAAATTAACCGTTATTTTAAGCAAGTTTTTTAAAATTTTTAATATCGTGTAAGTTGTAACAGTCTGAAATTTAAGAAGCTTTTATATATTGGTAAATAGTTTCTTTCGTTAGAAAAATATTTTTTCACCTCCACGCCTTCTCAAGTTATCGTCTCTTGAAATTTGGAAATTTTGAATTTTTAGCAGCTTATATTTTGAAACCGCAGACTTTTCCAAATTTTTATAAATTCAGAAAGCTAACCGGAAACTCCATGCCATTAAATAAATTTAATTATTTTTATTAACTGACGCAATTAACCCATAAATCAAGTATTATGTTTTTTCTCTTTTTCAAAAACTGCATCAATTGTTCATATTAAATGTATGCAATCCTTAAATGTAGTACTTAAATGTAGTACTTACATAAATTGTTTTTAAAAGCAGTATTTTCACTTGTTGAAGAGAAAAGTGCTGCATTACAAACTATTGATACAGACAAGAGTCTGTAATTTTTAAAGAGGCTGTAAACTATAAAGTAGATCTACGAGTATCATGAATAAAACAAAAATGCAAAGCACGTTCGAATTTGTGAAATTTTTTTTAAAAATATTTCAATAAGTAACAATCTTATGGAGAAAAATTAAAAAATAAAAGATAAATTGCACGAAGTTTATCGAAATTGATGTTTTCATCAATTAACTGCGGAATATATCATGTTTCTCGAATTAATCTTTATGATTATTGGAAATTAAAATTAATTCTTAATTTTTGAAGTAATATTTTCTTTTACATGCCATTTTCGATCACTCAAATTTCAACAGTTAAAACGGTAAAATTTCGCACACATATTCAATAGTATTTCCTCCTATTTTATTGATCTTTATACATACATCAATTAATCAATATGAACTGCTATCTTTCTAAGCGATCAATGTACTCGCATTTCTCTTGTTTTACGAAATGCTTAATACATACAGGAATAATTTTATTTCAAAGACGTGTAACGCTATGTTATTGTAAACTTATATACAACTCTGCGCATTACAAGTATTACAATTATTTTTTATATTTGAGATTTTTCGTTATTTTTAAATTACAATCGAATGTAATGATCACTGACCGGACTAAATTTCTAATATATATTACAATTAATTTAATAATTGATGGATGCATCACTTATAAAAGCGAAATTGTTGAAAAGCATACAATAATTTTCATAAAAATTCGTCTTCAATTTTGAAATTATAAATTTTTACAAGTGAAAACTGAAACAAATACTTTGTAAAATTTAATAATAAGACAAGATAAAATAAGAACTTAATTTTACTTTAAATAATTTGTACAAATTCGATCTAGGATTAAATAACAGTTAATATTGGACATACATCGACAATTCAAGCTCAATGTACTAATGTAAAGTATTTAACAGTTATTAAACTTGTAGAATAACTACAAAGCTCTTAAATTATTAAAACTTCGCTTGCATAATTACAACTCCTTGCAAATAAGAAATTTATTCTTAAAATTTCTGAATAACAGACATACAAAAATGAAATACATAAATGAGAACATATACAAAAATGAAATTAAACAAAATTTGTCAATTTTAAATTTTTTTTTACTAATATACACATATTTTTTGTTATTCCAGATATTCAACAATATGATCTTCAAGTAAATGTTCTTGATCTAAAATTTTTCTATCACACAAACTTCTATTCCTGGTTGCTATAAATTTTTGATCCAATTTATTGAATACATTTTTGAATTTGGCAACATTAGTTTGAATAAGCCAACAAATATTTAACTTTCATCACGGAACATCTTATTCTGAATGACTTTGCTTGGGCCTAGTGCCCCAGGAATGGCCTTTATGATGAAAAAAAAAAAATACAAATTTAATGTTGAAGTTTTATTAGAGGAGTTAATTGAAGTTGCTTTGGTAAATGAAGTGTTATTTGCTAAAATACGTTTACTAGATGGAGGGTCTTTTAAAGAATATAGCAATAGGTAAAAATTTTTATACAGTTTAATTTGGAGCCGTTTTTTTTTATTTACGCAAAAACTTGGATGAGAAAATGGATTTATACTATGTAATATCAATAAAATCGGCTGCTTCAAACAGAAAACAGAATAACAAGATATTATCAAAAGCGAATGTTTTGGTAAACTAGCAATATATGAAACCCGTTAAAAATTTTTGATATAAAAATTTCTGTTTGCTCTTTATTGAAGAAAAATTTCTTTTTTTTTAATTTTTTTTAAAAAATGGAAAGGAAGAGTAATTTTTAAATATGCTTTAAAGCGTTCATTTATCTTTTTATCAGCTAAATTTGTACAAAATTATTACCGTCCGTATTGTGTATACAATAAGGTAGGTAATGTGATGGCAACAAATTTTGCATATCGAGTTTTCGGTAGGAACGCACTTCTCCATGGTAGGAAAATGTAAATACATAAACTATTTTTAGCAACATGTCGGCCTGTACGTCTGTCAGTTTGTCTGTATGTGTATGCACGCGTATATCACATGTTTGGCTCAACCGATTTTCATGAAATTTTATATGCGAGTTTGTTTTGACTATGCCACGGATCGATCAACTTTTAGGATATATCAAGCCTTGTGAACTGGACTTTTTGCTTTTTGCCAATTTTAGTTTTTTATGTATATAAAGAGAAATATGTAATCCTTTTCTCTGAAATTTATTTAAATTTGGAGTGTTAAAACAGCGTATAAATTTTTTGGAATGATCTGGTCTCGGAAACCGAACTAGGGGCCGAATTTACATTTTACATATGGAACTAATTTCTTGAAATTTAATATTTGAGTTTTGGTTGTTACCGAAACTAAATGGTGAGCATTTTAGAGAATTCGGATGGCATAAATCGAAACTCTACTAAGAGCCAAATTTACATTTTTCTAGGTATATTATCTAAAACCACATTAACACCCTAAAAATTCGAAAGAAATATTTAACAGGTATTTTTACAATATCCCTGTAACACTTTCACTAAACTAGACAATACATATTGCGGTCGGTTATGTGCTGATCACATCTGAATCTTTTTTTGGGCTATATGTTTATTACTTATTCTATGATTTATGTTTAGAGAAACTTGGACAAATTTTAACTATTTACCGCTTAAACATTCTTGAAATATAACCAGTTTTTGTAAACATTTTAAATGATAAGGTGCGTTTTGAAAAGTAATGTTATTCTTTGATGTAACAAATTTATTCCAAAATCAAAAGTATTGTAATAGAATAACTGAAATTTTACTTTATAAATTCTTCAAAAATGTTTGAACAAATTACAAATTTAAAAAATATAAATCGATTTTCTCGTCCAACCTTTTTACGAATCGAAGCAAATGTTTTTAATTATGCAAAATAAAACTTCAAAAATTAGCATTGTAAATTAAAAAACTTTTAAGTTTTAATATATTTTGACAAAATTTTGTTTTTGTTTTTAGGGAAGAAGTTAAAAATCATACAGTAAAATGGGATAAAAAGTTTGATTTTTTATGTAAAATGTCTGCAAATGCATCCACGGGTGTCTTAGATCCGTGTTTTTTACGTATATCAATACGTAAGGAACTCAAAGGTGGACGCAGTTATCACAAATTAGGTTTTATCGATGTTAATCTTGCTGAGTTTGCTGGTTCCGGTCTTCAATCAAGACGTTTTTTACTGGAAGGTTATGATCAAAATCATCGTTTGGACAATTCTATGCTACGAATTTCGATCAAATTGCATATGTTGAGCGGTGATATTTTATTTAAGGCGTAAGTTTCTTTTCTGTTGAATAATATGTATTTTTTATGTAATAAATGTGTATACTTTTGAATTTTAGTCCTTCGCCAAGTTTAAAAAGTAAACAAATTTCTTCACAAGATGATTTGGGTTCCGTTGTGAGTAGTAGTAGTGCAGGAGGGGTGACTGGTACAGGTGTCGGTATAGTAACACCAGGCTCAAATTCATCCATATCACCACCGAGTAGCGCAATACCATCAATAATAGGTATACCAAGTTCCGGGACTCAGTCAATTCCATGTACCTCACCTCAGTCTTTAGGAATCATTGCAACAATGCCGGTTACTAATAAATCAATTCTAACAAAAGATGATACCGTGACTAATTTGCAATCCTACAATACGAATACCACCACCTCGATCCAATCGCAAGCTTCATCTGGTTTTGGTTCCTTACCTAAAAAGAAATCCGATTACTTTACAAATGATGTTGTTGATCCAGCTCTGTTAGTACAATCTATTATTACTGATTCTGGTTTATCAGAATCATCTGATCCAATAACAGTTGCTTCGGAATCGTTACAGTCGTATCCCCCACCATCTTTAACCTCGTTAACTAACGCACAACAAGCTCTCCCATCAGCTAATAACGGAGGCAACGTTGGGAGTGCCAATATTTCCAATACTAGTGTCATGACAAGTAGTGGTGGTGTTATCACGCAGGGACAAAATAATGCTGTTATAGAATTGGGTCATTCAAGAAATTCAAGCAATACTAGTCAAGTAAGTGCAAAACACTATCTTAATTTTACAAGGTACCACAAATTTTAATTTATGCGTTATTTATTTTAGTCTTTGAATTATATTGCTATAAAAAAATTGGTACTTTTTCAAATTAGTACGTTGCAATAAATTTATATACAAGAGACCTGATGTGGTCAGCACATAACCGACTGCAATGTGTATTGTCTACTTAAGTGAAAGTGTTACAGTTTTATAATATTTATAAAAATACCTGCTAAAGACTTCTTTCCAATTTTTAGGGCATTAGTAAGCTTATAGTTAACATATCTAGGAAAATGTAAATTTGGCTCTTAGTAGAGTTTTGGTTTGTGCTACCCGAATTCCCTGAAATGCTCGCTAGTTAGTTTCGGTAACAACCAGAATTCGAATATCAAATTTCAAGAAATTCCATCAATTCGTTCCGTAGATATTGTAAAAAATGTAAAATCGGCCCTCAGATCAGTTTCCGAGCCCTGATCTTTCCAAAAAATTTATATGTTCACTGCCTTAATACGAAGAATTTAACTATTAAATTTCAATGAAATCGGTTGATTATTTCCCTTTATATACGCAAAAATGTATATTCTTTATATACGCAAAAAGTCCAGCTCCTGACGCCTGATTTCTTCCAAAAGTTAGGAGGTTGCACGGACGGTCGAGCGAAGCTTATATGAAATGTCAAGTTTGTAAGTTTCAAAATGTAAAAGAGGCCCGCTAAAAAGTGCAGTACCGGAGGCCTGATATATACCAAAAGTTGATCATAGTCGAAATAAACTTATATATAACATTTCATCGAAATTAGTTCAGCCGAAATTGAGATACACGCGTGCACACACAAACCCACAGACCGACCGATCGACAGGTTGCTAAAAATAGTTTATTTACACTTCCCTACCATGGAGAAGTACCTTCCCACCGAAAACTCGATATGCAAAATTTGTTGCCCACATAACCTACCTATTATATACACAATACGGTCGGTAAAAAGATATTGCATGTTGCATGTTGAGATTGACAAATAATAATAGGGACAGCATGCCTGTATAAAACTATTGTAGAAAATAGTGCATATCAAATATATTTTATAATATGTGTACGTAAATACTGCTCAATTTGTTAATAAGGTTGTTTTCACTTTAATATCGCTATTTTTTCAAATTTGTTGCTCACAATCAGCCAACTAAAATCAAAACTGTCATCAATTTTAAAGTTTGTAGATTATCACCATGTAACGAGGCGTTTTTAAGTTTTATGATATTCAAACTTCAAAATCTGCTAATGTGCAGATTACACATCTCAGTAACCATATTTCTCGTGGTAAAGCTTTTATTTATCTGCCCGAAATAGACAGATTTTAATTAAGAGGCACATAACAAAACCAGACATGTTCAATCTCATTTAGTTTGCTTTTGTTAGCCATTCATTTTCTGATTTTTAAAGACTCCAGGAAATACGAGGGTTACTATTTATATTTCGGGTCCTGGCAATATTAGTGCTGCCAGGTGCAATCTGACACTTCCATTGGAAAGTTTGACATTTTTTAGGACAACTTCACTCAGAACGTTTTGTCATTCGAGCGCGAATTGTTTTGTTTACAGTGACTTGAAAAATTCATCTCGATCAAAAAATGGAATTGTCCCGTGAAAATTTTCGTGCGATGATTTTTTACGATTTTCGGCGCGGATTATCGAGACAAGAGTGTCTCGATCAACTTGTTTCGACTTTTGTTGATGAAGCACCATCAAAAACCACTGTAAATCGCTGGTACCAAGAGTTTGGTTTCGGACGCCGTTCGCTCCAGGATGAATTTCGTGAAGGTCGGCCAATTTCGGTCGTTTTGCCGGAAACCATCGATGCTGTGCGCGAAATGATAATGATGGACCGGCATGTGACATACTGTGAGATTGAGGCATCCTTGGGCATTAGTTCCACCAGCGTACATAAGATATTGCATGAACATCTTGCCGTGAAAAAGGTGTGTTGTCGAAGAAATAAGGAAAACAAACAAGCGCCGGCGAATCATTCTTCATCATGACAATGCAAGCTCTCACAAATCAGCTGAAACAATGGACTATTTGAGCACTCAAAATGTCGAATTGATGGGTCATCCGCCGTACAGTCCTGATTTAGCACCCAATGACTTCTTCTTATTCCCTCACATCAAAAAAAAAATGCGTGGACAACGATTTTCAACACCTGAAGAAGCAGTCGATGCGTTCAAAAACCATGTTTTGGGGGTGTCTCAATCGGAGTGGAAAAAGTGCTACGAAAATTGGTTTCAGCGCATGCAAAAGTGTATTGATCTTCATGGGGAATATTTTGAAAAACAATAAAACCATTTCCAATGATAAATGTTTGTTTTTTATTGCTAGACCCGAAATATAAATAGTGACCCTCGTATTATTCTAAAAAAATAATTTAACATACTTTCACTTTTTTCCAAAAGGATATCACAAGAAATATTTGTATGGAATTTAAAAATATGTACATTCAATTACTTTAATAGTTTCAATATCAAATAATTGCTTTAGATGTTATTGGCTGACGAATCTTTTCATTTTACATGTTAATGTTAATAAAACAAAAGATAATTCAAGAAAATTAACTATCTTTCGTATTTTTAGATGTCCAAGGGTTCAGGCTACAGCAGTTTTTCTCATAGTCAACATTCAAGACAAAGTTCGGAAGGTGACTCTGGTCATGCGAGGTAAGCGAAATATCTGTGTTTGTTGTTTTAAGCTGCAAATTAGATAACCACAAAAAAACATATTTAAAAGATACATAATTTTCAAAAGTGTAAAAATTAATTATTGTTTTTGGCTAAAATCAAAATCAGTACTTATTTCCCTTTTTTTTTGATTATGATCCTTTTTTTAGCATATAAATATTGATAACAAATTTTTAAAAAAAATTAATGACGCACAATTAAATTATTTAAAATTGTATTGAAATAGACATAGCAGAAATTTAAAATAATCATACCAAACAAAATTGAGTTGGATAAGAGTTAATAAATTTTGAAACAATAATAATAGCTAATAATTAAATTATGTACAACTATAAATTTTTTTATAAAAATTTTAAAAGATAAACCCAAAATTTAAGAAAACATAATATGCTGAATTGTTCAGTTCATTGGAATATAAAGTTTTAAAATGTTTTTTTGTTTTTTCTTATAAACCAAATAGTAAGGAAATTTTTTAAATATTAACTTAAGAAGTTGAGATAAGGTTTTTTTAAAATCATTTTATTTATTTTGTATAATTGAAAATATTACGTTATAACTTAAAAAGATAAATGTATGTAAATTTCTGAACTCCGATTCTTCTTTCTTGTTTAACATTACTGGGTTCAAATTTAAAAATGTATTAATATGATTTCTATAACAATTGAACTTGTATATTTAAGATTTACTATAAGTTTATCACTGTTTTGGTGAATTTTTTTAATAAAATTGAATATAATTCAATTAAATCACTTCCTCAATTAAGTTAATATTTATCGACAACAGAGTTTTTTGATTATTAGTCAACAAAATCCAAGAAGGTGTAGGGATTTTGTTTTTCACATTTTTTTAAAGTTGTTAATTAACGGGTTCTAGTTACAATTTTATTTTACTCCTTTAATTTTAAGTATTGGAATGAGAAATTTTGAAGTTATTATTGAAAATATTGTGTTTTCAAGAATAATATATTTTTTTATGAAAATATTCTATTAATTAGAGTATGATTACCACTATCGCGTATTAAGAATTAATAGGATTCGTTTAAGTTTTTTCTAATCGAATACGACTCAATTTTGAAGATTTCCGTTTTTAGTTTTGGTTTAAACATTTCTATAGTCATCACTTACATATTACTAAAAAACAAAAATACTAACTTCATAATATTGTGTTTTTTTGTTTTTCATAAATTTTTAATTAACCTAACAATATGTTTATCATTTATATAATATAAATCTGCTATCTGCTAAACAATTTTAAAAAAAATCAAACCTTAAAGTATAGCTATAACTTTTCTTTTTTAAATTCATAAATATTTCAAATTTGCAGCACATTAACATCATTTCAATTATTCTCCTTTAAAATCTGTTATGGCTTAATCTAGTAGCAAATAAAAAGTTACTATTAAAATTGCTATTGAAAAAATTGAGTAGTAAAAAGAGAGCATATTTGCCTGAGTAGATTTCTATGTCAACTGTGTACATTGTTTAACATTTTTTTACCACTCTTTCGCTTTTGTAAAAAGATTAAAGTTTTGAAGTAACTGCTTTAGAGAAAAAAATTGAAAATAAGGAAAATAAAAGAAAACTTCCGTTCTAATTAAATGATAAAATGTACTTTTTAAAGTTTCAAATTTTGGTTTTATGCAGATAGTCTGTCAAAAAATAAAATTTTTATCACTCAGGCAGCTATGGAGTATAGATAACATTTTTTTACCTTAATTTAATTTCTCACCAAAATTTTAAATCAAAATAATTTTTTTGAAAGTTTTGTATTCAAACTGACAAAGTTTATATATACTAGAAATATATAAATATTATGATTAAGATTAAATCTACTTGTCTAAAATTTTACATAAATTTCATATAAGTAACCAGATTTAAAATTATATTAAATTTTCCACAGAAATTACCACTATCAGATTCCATAAGAATGTTGAATAATTTTTGCAGTTATTTTAGTGTTTCCATATTTTTAACATTCTTTATTTCGTACTTGTATTTAAGAAAAGCAAGTGTAAAGATACATATACAGTTGTTCCTTTTACGTTTTGAAAATTTAAAAATCATTCAGTCTTCTAAACACAAAACTTAAAAGAACCATCCCGCGCTTAGAATGAAACTTATAGTACAAAACAAGGAAGGAATTAAATGTAGTACAAAAAATTGAAGGGAAATTCAAAACACAAAGCTTTGTAATTGACGACAAATATTTTATAAAATGAAAGTACTATAAACCTTAATTTTTGATTTTATCTATTTTTTTCATCTTTCCAAATAAAAATTTTTACAAACAACACAGTTTAATTTTTTTTTATCTTTATTTTTAATTGGAAAGATTTTGACCTTTTTTTAATAATATTTTAAATATCAAACGATTCTTCTAAACCCATTTTAATTCTTTTTCGAATTTCAACTTTCTTCCAAAGTTTTTTTTTTATTTTAATAATATAACACCTTTCAGTTTTTAATTGTACAAGGTGTTTCGCATAAAGTGACAAATAATTTCCTCGTTTAAAAAAATCCTTGTTCAATTTCCAGCAAAAAATTTTTGGGGTGCGTTGTCGGGGGTCCGAGAGGGATGGTCTGTCACAGTTTTGCAAATAACACGTGTTAAATGTGTTTAAAAACTTGCGAACAATGCATATTTCATACCTTTCATTATTCCATATTGCACATACTAAAATAAAAAATAATTTTGAATGTTGTTTATATGAGAAATTTATGAAAAATACATTTTTCGCATGTTTTTAAACACATTTAAAAAGTTTTACCAGCAAAATATGAGACATATGTAGATTAAAATGTTATATGAATTAACTCCAATTCTGACTTTGACGAGTTTTATCTCGAATTTTATGGCTCAGATCAAATTGATTGCAAAATCAAAAATAAAGAGCAATCAATAGCCCGTAAAATAAGCATTTATTTATATGCAAGAAAAATTTGGTCCCTTTTTTTCAACAGATTGTAACTCGAATACGGGTATATCTGCACCCACCCATACTCATACCATTTTTGTCTGGAAATTGATCATAAAATCGTTCCTGAAATTATTTACCTTCTTATGCTAAACACTGTGTATAAGATGTTTTTTGAGATTTGAAAGTTTTTTAAAGAACTGGAAAGATTATGGACCTCATTCAGCAAGTATTTAAACTTCTGGATTACATTTTTTTATTAATTTTAAAAATAAATTTTTTAAAACGGTGAAAAATTGAAGCAAATGTATACAAACAACAAAACAACTTTGCAGATGATATTCTAAGAAAAATCATGAGTGATAAAAATATTAAAGATATGGTTTACTTAAGTTTATTTGTATTTCCTAACTATAACAGATGTCTATAACATAGTAATTGGATTGTATATCATTGTCGTACTTAAAAAATCGCTTGTTTAAAGATTATTTTTAGCAGGCAGATACATATATCGCAGCTTTTAAATTTTTAAAAATCAAATATTAAACCGCCTTTTATAGTTTATTATTTTCATTGAAATGGTGCAGTGCAAAAAAATTTGTTTACATTATGAATGTATTTGAAATTTTAATTGTCAAATCCGTCTATATTATGAATTTATCATTTAATAATATTATCATAAGACTCACCAACTTTATTAGAAATTATTCAAAAAGGGGCAAAAAAGTCAACAAGAAGGAATTAATGAAAAATATATTTTTGAAAAGTATAAAATGCATCTAGCTTTTTTCGCTCTGCCTTTTCTTGCAAACAATATGGAAGCTGATACTTGTACTTTGTAAAGTTTACGCTGTGAATTTGAAAGTCGAAATATAAAAAATTAAATTTGAAATCAAAATAATAATAAAATATAATATGTGCATATATGATGAGTATAATATATATAATGGTATGAGCACATGCAGCATGTATTGTAAATAAAATGTACCTATAATAAATATGTGTAATCGATTTTTACGAATTAACGGTTTATTATTTTACGTATAAATAAACTGGTTTAAAAAAGTCGGTTTTTTGGGTTCTTTGAAATCTATTTTCTTGGCAACATAGTTCGCCATCAGAGCATCAAAAAAGAACATGAATCTATTTTTTGTCAGATCTGAATCTTCTCTAAGATAAAAAATAAAAACGACTCGAATAAAATAAAATAGCATTCAACATGTATCAAAATTCACGCATTTTTCAGGTCAACATCAACTATATTTACATATGTATGTGAATATGCATGTATATCATATTTTTATTTAGAAAACATTTTAGTAGGAAAAATAAGAAAGACATTATGTAAATCTTAAAATCTAATATTTATTTTTAACAATATGATTGTAGGCTTTCCCAATATAGATTAAACTTTTAAAAACGACTCTCTAAATAAATTAAAACATTGAAATTATCATTTATGTTTTATTTTTTAGTTTGAACTCGATATTTGGACTATTGCGTGAATTGTCTCATACATCATTAAATTTTACAAATTAATATTTAAACACTAGTTTTTCTTCTTGAAACATATCTGTAATATATTGATTAAATATTTTTCCATTTTATTAAAAAAATAGAATTTTGAATTGGTTAGAAATTAGTTAATGTATTAGTCATTGCATTTTTTTATACTAAAAAGACTGTTAGCAAACTGTTTTCAATTCCTCTTTTTTGCGACAAACATCCCAAACATATTTTTTAATACTGTATAGCTAATAGCACTGTTTCATTTGTAACACTTTTACCTGTAGCGAATAATGAATTGATATAAAATTTTTAAATTATAAGAATTAACTTTAATAATTGTTTTGGGTTTATATTATTAAAATTTAATTTAATTATTGTTTTATTATTTTATTTTTCTCTTAAATATTTTTTTTTCTTACAAAAATATGACCACTAACATCGAAAATTGTGCATAACAAAAAAATTTTTGCTTCCTAAAAATTCAATAAAAAATCGAAATATATTATAAATAAAAATTTTTTTTAACTATCTGTATTAAATAATAATAAATCTAATGAAATAACAAATGATTAATACATAAAAAAAACATAATAAAGATATCAAAAAACGCTTTCAATTCTCAGTAAATTAAATCGTAGGGTACATAACGCTGTTATGAAATTAAATATCCCCTATATGCATTACAACAATAAGTATAATGGCAACGTTATGCTTAATAAATTACAATCAAAATCAACTTCGGTTACAACTCAACATAGTGATAAGATCTTAATTAAATATGCAACAACGAATTCGGTTACATCTCCTGGTATAATTGATTCTGAGGGTAATATATACTTAACTCCAAATTCATCAATGATATCATCACCGACTACAACACAAGATAATTCACATGAAGATTTTTCTACACCAACAAGTGAAATGCCTACACGATTTTTGCAACAACTATCACCCTCATCGTTACCAACACCTATGACATATAGCACACCAAATCCACTACACCCGCCGAGCACAAAAAATTTGCCAGGTCTCCTTGAATATTCTGGTGATGAAGATTCTGGTTTAGACGAAGAAAATTTCCACACACCTAGAATGTCTAAAATAAAGTCAATGGAAAGTTTATCGGTAATTGAAATGACTACAAAAAGAAGTTCACCAACACATTCAACGCAATCAAGTTACCATTATTCACCGACGAATAGATTAAGTTTAAATCAAAAAAGTTTTCAAGTTCCACGAATTAAATCTATGAATAATTTGTTAAATAATAAACCAAATAGTAATAGTATTAATAATAATGTGATGATACAAAGTAATGTCGATATGTTTATCAGAAAGGATGTTGATAAATACGGAAATAAGAATTTAGATTGCTTACAACAAGAGACCATTTTTAAACATCCAATGTTTTTACCACTAAAAACAACATCTAGCGCACGTTTTACACAAAACAAAATTGGTAATGCAAAATTTATTGGCAATGATGATAATCTCGTGACAATAAATGTAACAATAAATCATAATAACAAAAATATGATAAATAATACCACGAATGATAATAATGAAAATGATGAAAATAAAAGTAACACAAAAACGACAATTGCAACAACTGTGATAAACAAAAAATTATATCCTATGGCCAAAATGAAATCAATGGGTACAATACCAGATCTTGTAGCCGAAAGAGTTAAATATGATCCCTTTTTAACACCAACAACTGGTAGAAAACACATAACTGACTATTTACCATCTTTTAATAACAACTTGCAAAGTGATAAAGATAATAGTGATGTATTTAATGATTATTGTTTTAATTTAAATAGTACAGCAAATAGTCTCCAGAACTCACCGATTCAAACTAATCATGATGGATATACGATGTTACGTGCACTTGATTCGCACGATACACGTAGTAAAAAATTACATCAGTATCATCAGCAAGATCCCGATAGATTTTCTTTACAAGGCTTATCAACTTTTGAATCGACCCGAATATATAGAAGAGGTTATCAAAGTATGAAAAGTAGTTCACGTAATATTGATGCTAATGGTGGATGTGATAATGGTTCTAATAATAGATTTAATAATGCGAAAGGGAGGGATGGTAATAATTCAACCAATTTAGGTTCACATGGAACAATTATTGACAGTTCTTCACAAATACGACAAGGAGATGTTACATATATCAGCTTTGTTACAGACGGAAGACCGAAATCAACTAATACAATACAACACGAGCTATTGAGGTACGAGTAAAAAATCTTAAAAATGAAAAAAATCCAATGAATATCAACATTAACATTAAAAAAATAAATATAATCAGAAAAAATAAATTGTTCACATACTTTCGCAAATACTCATGAACTTTTTTCACTAGGATAGTGCGATACATTTATATATTTACACACATACATACTCATAGATATAGTATACTCGTATACACATTTAAAGTCTTTTTTATACATTTTTTTTAGTCATTTTTTATTTTTTGTTTTCTTTTTGGTTTTGGACTATTTTTTCTATATTTCCTTTTTAAAATCTGATCAAATTTATTTTTTTTAATTAATTAAGATATTTCCAATAAAAAATATTTTGTTTTTTTTTTTTAATTTTTCATACTTACAATTTCTTTTCAATAATTTAAGTGTTCTCTTTCAGAATATACATTTATATATTAATATTTTTTTAATTTTCAGTTTAAAATTCAATTCATGTTTTTTGTATTAAATGGTTAATCTTAGCTTCTATTATAAACGATTTAATAAAAATTTTCATTTTCAATTACACATCAATTTATTTATTATGTAATTAAAAATTCCAAAGTTGCCTTAAGTGTTAGTAATATGTTTTTTTTTAAGTATTTAAATATTTTTCTTGGGATTTCTGCTGTGTTCTTGTTTTTAAAAGCTTTACTAAAAATTTTTAATTAAATAATTTTAAAACAGTTTAAGTTGACAACATTCAATATGAAATTCTGCAGGCGTCGTAACACTTTAGTTGTATTAAATTAAGGTACTGAGAGAATGTGAGATACTGGAAAACGTAAAAATATTTCTGGTTATGTCCAAAAATTTAATTTTTAATTTTTCCACAAAAAATTTTTAATAACTTAAATATTATATAATTTTAATTTTTGTTTATAGCGGCGTAATCATAATGTTTAATTTTTTAAGTTTTTCTCTTAGGTGTATACTTTTCATAATTAGGTTGGGTATCCTTATGTTTCTTGTACGCTTAGTCGTTTGCTATCTTCATGTTTTAAAAAACAAATGTATAGAGTTATATTGAGTTTTTCCCTATTCTTTAATTACAACATTAAAGTGAAGGACGTTATTTGCATCTAAACATACATAAGTAAATTTTTATATAAATAAATTTTGGAGTTTTATTTTGAGTAAAGTTCCCTAAAACTTAAAAAAATTCAATCAATTTTTAAAAGGGTACTAAGTCAACTTACGAAAAAAAATTCAATATATAATTAAGATTGCAAAATTTAAGAGTAAATTCACAAAACTCTAAGAATATTTTCCTTTTATTACAAAACTTTGCTGAAAACATTTTTTATAAATTGCTTTTCAAAGGCAAACACGAGATGTTATTTTGCAATAAACAATGCAAAAATTGTTTGGAATTATGTATTGGATCTAGAAATCCTTTAAACTTCTCGTTGTGAGGGCTTTTGAAAAGTGTATGTGAAGAAGACAACAACAATTTCAGACTTAAAACATAACATTCGGAATGAGATTACTGCACCGCTTGTGAAAGGAACTTCGATATGTCAGAACTATGAAATCTGCAAAAATAGATTGTTTGATAAAAAAAATAAGTTCGAAAATCATAGTATGCATAAACCTCTGAAGCATTTTAAAAACTTTTTTTACTCCAATTAAAAAATCGTAGCATATAAATAATGATTTATACATTTATGTTTACTTACATATATAACCAATAAAATTTAACAATTTACGTATGCATACATAACTAATGACAATAACCATATGATTTTAAGATATTTGATAACTGTAAAAGTAAAATTTTTATGTGTTGAAAATCTGCATTATGTAAAGAAAAATTGAAAATTTCATTTAAAAAAAGCTATTTCAAATAAAATCCTTTAATTACCCATTTCAATTATAATATACGAAATGTTTTTTTTATTAATTTTATTTTCCATAAATATTTACAAGTATTACAGAGAAACTGTAATTAAAAAATAGGCAGTTAAAAAAATTATTTACCTTACCTTACATACGTTATTAGGTAGTGTGTATGTATTTCATATACCTTTGGTTGTTCCACGAAAAAAAAAATTTCAATTGAAAATTGAAAAATCACTGGTTGTGTAAAATTTGTGAAGTATGTTAATTCTTTTGTTAATAAAAAGTTGTACAAAAAAGTTTTGGCAATTTTTGCCTTTAAGTACTAACAAAATCCTTCTTAAAAAACTGCCAAATAAAGTTGAAAACACTTGTTTGCTATCTTTATTTAAAGAAATTGTGGTTAGTTAAGTCTTTCTAAAAATGCAGTTCTAACTCAAGACTAGATTGCAGTAATATGTTTAAAAAGAGTTGTTTAAATTTTGAAGCAGTTTTTTTAGATATACAAAATAAAAATATCAGTTTCTTTAAGATACTTTTATTTACAATTTTTAATAGATTTTTCAACAAAAACCATTTTCATATACATTACATACATACATATATGACGTAAATATAAAAATGTACATGCTACAATATTGAAAACCTTAATTTAGTACTAAAGCATTACAAAACAGCCGATAATATTGTAATCGTAAGATCGTTGTTGTACGCATTTGCATTTTGCATTTTTAGGAAATCTCTCATATGTGTATGTTCATATGAGACGTTCAGTACATTAGTCGCTAAAAGATTTGTGTAAAAATGAGTTGTTATGTTCAATAAAGCTGTAATGGCCTAAAGACTCGTTCTATATTTTCAAAATACTTAGTTCACTCCTCTTTTCATTCTATTTTAATATAAGTTTGTTTAGCTTCTTAAAAATTTTCTTAAAAATTAAATATTTGAATATTTCAATCGCAATTTACTCGAAATGCCATTTTTGAAAGTTGGCTACTAATTTGCTGAGCGCCTCATATGTAGATTCATTACGTAGAAAATTAATAATAGTTTCTAATGATGTTCTAATAATTAGTTTCAAAAATATAAAATACAAGCTGAAAAAATAACATATTTCTTTTTTTTTTTAAATTTAGAAATAACACTTTAGACATACTTACTGTGACGTCAAAATAGCAAGTAAAATGCAAAATTCAAATTGTAAACAGAAAAATTTTAACAATGGCAACTGAAAAGCAAGAACAATGGAAATCTTGCATCTAAAAATTTGAGTGTACTTGAACTGAGATTTGAGTGAACAACGTGATGTTTATTGCTTCGGAACACACAATCGGTCGAAGTGTTGTGAAATTACATCGCAACATAATACATTACGTAATATTTTTGAAATTTTGTTACATATTTTGAATTTCTCCGGAAAACATTTTCAGCTTGTATTTTGATAGACATAACCTACCTAATTCAGCATTAGATATTAAATAGAAGTTTTCTTAATACATCATCTTGATATTTTATTTAGACCAAGACATCTTAGCTCTTACACTACCTATACACATATATTATATTTTCGCATAAATTTTTCTCTTATCCCTCGATGAATAAATTGTATGAAATCGACGATTTGCTGGCTAAAATTTCCAAAAATTTGAAAAGTGTTTTTTTTTTTCTAAAACGAATGTAAAATTTTCCACTTACGTAACTTATGTATGTTCATAATAAAACTATACGCTCTTTTCTCTTTTAATACCACTATCTCACATCACATCGTGTCTCTCATTTAACTTTTTTTTAAAAAAAAAAATATTTTTTTAAAAAAGTATTTGGAGAAACTGACAGGTATTCATATTTGGTGTACTTGTACTATACTATAAATCACTGTATGAAAACAATAAAACACTAAAACAATACCAAATTGATCTCTTTTGCTGAATTGACTCCAATTTAAGCTAAAAAAAATAAATAAATCGGTAAATAATATTGTGGACATGTGTACATACATAATTATATCATTTGTACAAAAGTACAATCAATTCTAAAAACTATAGAAAACTATAGAAAACTGCTATATGAGTATGTATAAAAATAATTTGAGTGAATTTTATTTAAATTAAAAAATGTTTATTTAATAAAGTTGGGTCAAACCAATGGTATTTCTAGGACTGCATATATTTAAAAAGTAAAAATTAATTGAAAGAGGGGTTAATATAATACTCGATTTTAAGTGTTTATTGTGTGAGTTAAGAAAAATAATTATATTTTTTAATGGCATTTTAATGGCCGTGAACATGTTTACAATATCTCTACACCCTTGAAGATAGAAAGCTGAAATTTCATATGTACATAGATCTTTACTATAAACTTATTTGCCTGGAAGAAAATTTTCATCTATCTCCCCAATCTAAAAGTTATAGCTTCTGAAAGTACTGAAAATGCCATTTTTTAAGTAATTATTGTAGCAAAACTAAAATCATGTTTTAAATTCTACAAACGGAGAAAATTAATAGCTGGCTTCTTCTACCGCGGTATACCACAATTCCGCGAAATTCTACAAAAAACTGTAATGTTGCTTTAAATTTACCGTTATCTAAAATCGATTTTTTTTACAAATTTTTGATATCATTTTTCTTCTAGAACTAATGTTGTAAAAGTCTGAAATTTTGGTAGGTCTTAGATATTTATAAATAGTTCATTTCGTTAAGAGAAATTTTTTTTCACCTCCACCGCTTTTCAAACTATCGCTCCTCGAAATATGTGAAATTCGAATTTTTGGCACCTTATATTTCCAAATCTGCAAGCTTTCTCAAATTCCTATAAATGTAGAAAGCTAACAGCAAATTTCATGCCGTTTAAAAATATAATTACGTTTCTTAGTTCGGGCAATTAACCCTTAAATTCGAGTATAATGTTAACGTCTCTTTAATTTTTTTTGTTTTATATTTTTTTGTTTTATATTTATTGTTTTGTATTTTTTTTTTGTTTTTGTTTTACGTATGCAATTTTTGAAATATATTCGTATATTAATATTTAAAATTTAACTAATTTAATAATGTAGTACACAGATTGCTTTTAAAAGTAATATTCTCATTTGTTGAAAGGAAAAGTGCTACATTACAAACCATTAGTTTGACCTAAATTTATTTTATATGTACCTGACTTAAAATCGTAAATTTTCAATCCTGAAACCGTCTTTAACGTATAGATTCTAATGTATTTTCAATGGAAAATTAAATTTTTCTGATTTGTTTTTTGTGCTTTTCAGGTTTTCTTAGTTGATAACAGTAAATTTTATGCTTTGTTTCAATTTTGCTTAGGTTAGTGGAAGCATATTTGAAATATTTCAAATAGAAAAAAAATTAATTTCTTTTAAAAGTCATAAACAATGGCCTTTTTTCAATTATACAATTCAAATAAATTTTTAAATGATCTTAGTGCGATTGGATACGACTTTCAAAACGATATACAGAAGGGAATAAATAAGTGATATTTGTTTACCGATTTTTCTTAAATGATTGAAGTAATAAAAATTTATAAATATCTGACATAGACATCTGCCAGCGAGTAATGTTTCTAAAAAAAGTCTAATTACAGTAATAATTTTGAAACTTTACCTCACAAGTGGAGTGAAAACAAAAGATTAAAAATTAAAACAGGTCTATCTTCTTAACTTTGCAAAACAATAACAAAAAAAAATCTGATGTGGTTAGCACATAACCGACCGCAATGTTCAGTGAAAGTGTTAGCAAGCTTTTAACTAACATACCTAGAAAACTAGCTCTTTGGAGATTTCGCTTTGTGCCATTGGAATCTCCTAAAAAGTTAAGCAGTTCTGCAGTTAGTTTCGGTAACAACCAGAAGTCAAATGTTAAATTTCAAGAAATTCCATCAATCCGTCCCGTAGATATGGTAAAATTGTAAAATTGCCCCCCCCAATTTGATTTCCGAGCCCTGATCTTTCTAAAAAATTTACATTTAATTATAATATAAAATAAATTATAAATATAAAAATAAATTCATTGTTTTAACACTTCGAACTTAAATATCAAATTTCAGGAAATTGGTTGATTACGAGTATTTCTCTTTGCTTACGTTTCTTACGTTGCTTTTACTCTTTGCATTAGCTTCTCTTAAAAATGTAAAATTTGCCAGTAAAAAGATCCAAGGCCAGAGTTCTGATCTATCCCAAAAGTTGATCAATCCGTGCCATATCCAAGATAAACTCACATATAAAATTTCACCAAAACCGGTTCTGCCGAACTTGAGATACACGCGAGCATACACATACCGACATATCAACATCTCTCTAAAAGTAGTCGACACCGAAAATTGCTGCCATCGCATAATCTACCTAATTGTATACAATGCGGTCGGTAATAAACATAAAATAATAAGTAAAACAAAAAATTTCGCAATTATTTGCACATTTCCTTAATTGATAGATATAAAAAGATTGTTTGCATTCTTTCAATAAAAAACTGAAAATTAAAGTTTTGAAACTAAACTTGAGGTTCATAATATTTTTATAGCCAACAATTTAGCCGTTATGTCAACTTAATCTTACCAACATGGAACAGAAAGGAATAAAAAATTATTATGCAGGTATAGAAGAGCAAATGTTATTTAGAACACATAAAAGTATTTTAAGTATTTGACTTCAATTATTTAAAAATTCAAACTTAAAAATTTTAATTTTATTTCTCAAGCCAAAAAAAGAATAATTTTTGAAGTTAAATTGAAAAATAAACTGGGATATTTGAAAAAAAAGGAATGTAGTGTGGTTTTGATAATGGCTAACCGATTTTTTTATGTTAAAATTTCTGAGAAATACAGAAAAATCACGTGTAAGCAGTTGCGAATTTATTATTTTTTTGAATATATGAGACAAAGAAGATGGTCCTAAATCTTTTAATATTTTTTTTTTGTAAAATAAATTTTACGTTTTTTGCGAAAGAACCAAGTTTTTTATACTGAAACTTTCATCTCTCTTTTTTGCAATTCACTTTAATTATGTATGTAAATAAAAAATCGTATCGAAAAAAATACAAAATTAATAAATATTGGCAAAACATGATTTTCGTTTTTTGATTGAAACTTTAATAATCGCATATTATTTTCAAATATATGATATACAAAAATAAAAAAAAAACACATATAATTAATCATTTCCCCTTTGATATCCTGCATATAGTTCGGGCAATTAAATTATCCTTTTTTTCTTTCTTCTTTTTGTTATCTTTCTCATATTTATCACAAAACATCAAAAAAACATATTTTGTAAAAAAATAAAAAATAAAATAAAATCGTAAATTACATCATTTCGTGTTGAAATCATTTAGAAGTGTATCAGGTGTGCCAAGACGTCTACTTGATGGTGCAAATAATCGACAAGTTATATCAATAGCAACAGCACCACCTATATCTCCTAACGCCTCTTCAGCAACACTAGCAAGTTTAAATAGTAATTCGTCCTTTGGAACTCCAAGCGTTGGCAGTAATGGCATGACAATTGGGTCTAATATTTCAACTGGTAATAACAGTAACTGTAGTGTAACTCCGAGTAATACACCGATAAATCATGCAAATACTACAAGCGTAATAACAGTTTCCTGCACATCCGCTTCACCAACTGAAATGTTAATTTCATTAACCACTGGAAATAGTAGCGTAAATTCTACAAGTCCAACGGATGCTGATAGTGTTAAATCGAATCCGTTATCAGCGTCTTCCATGTTAACGATAAATACTGGCGGTGGAACCTCTAGAGGTTGTGGTAATAATAGTAGCATAATTATTAATTCACCATATTCGAGCGTGGGAAATAATACTATTAGCGCAAGTAACATGGGAAGTAGCAATATTTTATCATCAACATCAACAACTTTAGGTGGAAGTGATGACTATACAAATTGCCAATCACTATCGCCATTGAGTTCAACACAATCGGCACTCCGGCGTCCTAGTATTACTATGTTCGTGTTAAAAAAATTTTTAGTATATGTACATTAATATAGTATAAAGCTCGAAATAGAATTTTTTCGAAAAATTTTAGATTTTTGAAAAAAAATCTTTTTTTTTAATTTATAATGTCATAGATTTATTAATACATATGTATGTTTTTTCTTATATTTACAATTTTTTTTCTTACGTTAATATTATTTTCTTAAAGAAATTTATTTCATTTAATATGCTAGAAATTTTAGGTATTTTATCAAATAATTTTTGTAAGTTTAAAATTAAAATGCATGATTTTTCCGGAACTATTTTAAATATTTTTCATATTTCAATTTTGTTTGTAGTTTTATATTTTCGTTCGATATTGTCTTAAACAATGAAATTCAATTAAGCCAGCATATTGAATTTTAAACAAAACTAAAACGACAATATTTTCAGGAAGAGTTTACATTATTATTTTCAATTCAATTGTTGCATTTATTTATTGTTTTAGATTAATTTTTAGACATATTTCATTCAACGATTTTTAACAGAACATGATTACACATATTCTTCTATGCTCTCATACCCGTGCGACCCGATAATACTAGGAAATAAAGTTCTGTCAAATAAATATACACAAATGTAATAAATATACACAAATGTACATGAATACATGCCCAACGTCAAATTCAGAGTCAATTTAATTTTGCTTATCAAGAACATGGCGTGATAGATATGCAGTATGTTTTTCATTCAGGCTGATTCAGCAACATGTTAGGAACCGTGTACCATCGGGTACACCGTCGAAAATTTTACTACAGAACGTAGTGTCAAAGGCAGTTTTTGAAAGAGCTTTTAGAGAACTTAAAATAAAAGTTTAAAAATTTAAAAATGGCACGTATGTAAGAATCAGCTCATATCCCACACAGGCAGACAAACTGGTATTTCGCTAAGAATACTTTATTAACGCTTCACTACCGTTGAAAACTCGATATGCCAAATTTAATGCTATGATATAACCTTTTTTATTGTAGGCAATACACCCGATAAAAAATTATAAATTCATAAGAATATTGTAGTTATCATATTCTGTTACAAAAATATACACTTGTAAACAAAATTTTTCTTTAAAATTGTTGAAAATTTTACATTTTAACAATAAGGATAACATGAGGAAAACATTAGGGTAGAAAAAGTTAATTCAAGACTTGCTCTAAGTGTAAAAGTATGTCAAAATTTATCGAGATATAAATATAGATGCCACTTGAATTCACTGAAAAATTCACCAGTTAGTTTCGGTAACAATCAGAACTCAAACATCAAATTTCAAGAAATTCCATCGACCCGTTCCGTAGATATGGTAAAAAATGAAAATTTGGCCACCAATTCGGTTTCCGAGCCCCGATCTTTGCAAAAAATTTATAGATTCGTTGTCTTAACACCCCGAATTTAAATATTTAATTTCAAGTAAATGGTTGATTACATTTTTTTTATATACGCAAGAAAGTAAAATTGGCCCGCAAAAAGATCCAGTTCCCGAGGTCTAATATATTCCAAAATTGATCAATTTGTGCCGTAGCCAAAATAAACTCACATATAAAATTTTATCAAATTCGATTCAGCCAAACTTGAGATACGCGCGTACACATAGACAGACAAACCGACATCTCTCTTAAAGTAGTTTATTTATGTTTCTCACTGAAAACTCGACATCCAAAACTTGGTGCCATCACATAACCTTTCTTATTGCATATAATACGGTCGGAAAAATTAACTAAGTAGTTATATTTAACCTCGTTCTTTCACATTAGTGAATTTGTTCAATATTTAAGTTAGTAATCAAATATCTGAAAATGTGTTGATCTTTTTTTTGCATGTTTTTAAGAGTTTTTTTAACCTCTTTTAAATATGTTTTTGAACATTTAATAGTTTATTAGAATTTTGTATCTTCCATATTTCATCTATTAATGAATCTGGATTAATTGTAGTTATTCCAGATTGATTGAATCTAGTGAAAGTCGTTTTTCTTTTAAAAATAACCTAAAATTCAATAGATAATTTTTCTTATATAAAAAAATTAGGTATTAACCTCGCTTCGAGTCATTCCGTTCAAACGACTTAAAGCGATTTCAGTAAATATTAATTATTGACAATTCTTCGGTTTGATTTTAATTTAATTAAAAAAGTTATAATTTATAAATGGAAAAATTCAACATTGTGAAGAAAAATTTTCCAATTACATATGTTATTTGTTTATATATTTTTATTTTCGTTTATTTTTACAATACTATTTTGAAATTCTAAAATTATTGAATTATGAAATTTAATATGTATACGAAATTTATTTGTTTATTTAAAATTTTTGTTTTTGTTTAATACCTATCAAAACAAAAAATGAATATACATGTTCCGTTATAGATAAAAATTAAGGAGTATTAAATTTGTTAATTGTAAATACTTAAAAAAATTATTGCATTTGTCCACATTCAACGGATATATTTAACAAATTTTTAAAAATAATTTAAACTTTGTTAATTACAATATTTAGTTTTCATACACATTTGGATATTTCTTGAAACATAATTTCAATTATGTGTTTTACTTTTGAAAGATTTATTCTATTTTGAATAATTTTTATAGTTTGCATGTTATACAAATTCCTTGGTTTCTACTACTTGTTCCTTTAAACAGTTTCATTGTTATTATTTTTCATAATTATAATACAAATATCTTTCAATTTCATTTATGCATAATTAACGAAATTTTAATTTTACATTAAACTTTTGCACATAATTTACGTATTTTTTTATTTCCCACTCATCACATTTAATTTTTGGTTTTCATTCAACTCTATGGTGTAATTCATCTTAATTTTTTATATTTTAAATAATGTGTTCTATGTGTGTGTATTGCGTATATAAATTAAAATGTGATTTTTTATTTTATTGGAATAGAATATTTTAGGTATTTTCCATAAGTATTTTAACACAACATTTTCTTATAAACGTGACTGTTGAAGCATTAACAGTTTATTTTTTATTTTTGTATTTTTCCTTTTATTATACAGGAATCCAAGTTCAGGTTCTTTGGCGATAAGTGAAACTGGATCATTAGATCGAATGAAAACTGCAGCTGAGAAACGGAAGAAAGCTGCACTTGAAGACAATGCACCGCGTGTTTCTGATCGTGTAGAAGAGACTAGAGTTAATCCAGATTCATTAATAGATGAAATATTGAAAGATACAAAATTAGATTTAGATTTAGAAGGATCTGCTGAAAGTAATTTTTTTTTGTTACATCGTAAATTACTGTAATAATTATCCTGGCTGTACACATATTTTCAAATTTAGATTCTTTTTTAATTCGCAATTTAAACTGTTGGTGTAAAAAACAAACTAAAAAAAATTTTACTTTTTTTTATTTTAGCATCTGGTCTACAACTTTTTATAGGAAGAGATGGTACAGCTTCTCTAGGAACTCAAGAAGTTAAATCACGTATATCTGGTGGGGCTTTTAAACAAGTGGTAATGGAAACACCAAGATAGTAGCGAGTTAGATTAAATTTAAGATTTTTGCACTATATGTTATAAGATGGACAAGTAAATACATCTGTTTTTCTGAAATAAATCAAAAAATAAGAAAAAATATATAATATAGCATTGAAATTAAAAAAAATATTCCTTAAATAAAATAAAAATTCGTATCCAAATTCAAAAGTAGAATTACAACATTATTTTTGATAAAAATGTCACACATTTGAATTGCAAACTAAATTTGCAGAACAAAAAAAATGGGAAAATAATTTGTAAAAAATTTTTAGAGTTATTAAATGACGGAAAGTTTATCTTAACAAAAGTGTTTTGATAACAATTGAAATTTAGGAATTATATAAAATAATAAATAATATAGTAAATTGACATGTAAAGTTAAATCTGTGTTCAAACAATACTGAGTATGTATTTGCTATGTTGATATGGAATAAGCAACGTCAAGAAACAGCACAAATGAAAAATAATAATTCTTGTTCGAAAATTACAATTCAAATTTCAAATAAAAATTTCTTCGGTTTTTTGACTAAGTCATGTGCGTTATAATTTTTGCATTATATTATATCCTGTATTTTTTAATAAACTGTAGCTACAATTTAAAAAAAAGGGAAGTACTAAAGCAGTACAGCGCTCTTATATTAACATATCGAAAATCAATAATTAGGCTTTTATTAATACCAAATTATTAATTGTGTAAAATTATTAGGAAAAATATATATTTACATAAGTTATATGTATTACACTATGATATCGTACTATATAATTATTATGTATTAATAATCCATATAAACATATTTCAATAAGTTGGTTACTATAATTAGATTAGTTGAAGCGGTGCGGTTAGTTGAAGCATATAACATGAGAAAAATTATACATACAAATTCAAAATAGAAATTTTGTTGCAAATTACTTATTATTTAAAAAAGAATTTTCTTTAAGAGCGTAAAATTTTATGCAACATTCAATAAAAAATTGAAAACTGCCGAAATTGTAGTTATCTTGTAAAAATACTACGGACGTAATTTTATGTTATTAATTGCATACAAGTTAAAAAGTACATAACTTTGAAAACATTATTTTCATGTATTTATATACAGATTACAAAATTATTTAATCATAAAATGAAACAAGAAAGGGACATTCAAAGTATAAATTACACGAAAAAAAAAACAAAATGTTATAAATTTTAAAAAATATTAACTCCACTTTTACAATAAGTTAAGGGCTCAGATAGATATTTAATTTTTAGTTTTGCAACTGTTGGTTGCTTATTTGTATTTCACACGTTTATATTCAAACACATGCACCTATATGGTCGCATGAAATTAGGCAATCAAACAGTTTATAATTTTTTGCAAACTGATTTCGATTTTAGTTTAACGCATTTGATTTGAATTTACGCAATAGTTTAGTTTGTTAGATATGCGCGCAAGGATTCTACAATCAAGCAGTAATTACAAAATTGAAAATTGCATATCTATTGGAGCCCTAACAAAACTACTTCCACTTATATTTAGTTTTTATGAGTCATTAATGTAATGTTATTTTTACATAATGTTGTGCATATTCTAATTTAAAATTTATAAAGTTGGTATGCTTCTGAAATATACCAACTTCAAAACTGGAAAAATAATAAGAGTCTTCACGTAACACTGCCGATTAGTTCAGCATTAGAACATCAAAGAATGTGTTAAATTTGTGACAGATATTGTTGTTGTTTCATGTATAAATTATTCATCGTTATTTTTTCTTAACTAAAATGTACTCGACCTAAATGCCAGTGCACTATTTGAATATTTGTTTGTGCATATAATTTTATTTTTTTAGGCAACTAATTTGACATTTTCATATGAAAAACGTTTTCAAGGTACAACGAAACATTTCAAACCAGTCAATATTGCACTTAAATTTTCCACTTGCTCACTCGTGTAAGAGAGTATTTTTTATAAATTTATTTTATACCGATGTTCAGTTACGTGAAAACCCCTAATATTTTCAAAATGTACACATTTCATGTGGAAATTGTACGCGTACGTCACACAAATTTTTGAATTATCTTAAATAACACGACGAATCATTACATTTTAAAAATTGGAAGAATAAAACGAATGAAAATATAAATTTGATTTTATTTTTTTCATTGGACCTATGCGTCCTTTTAATCCAAGTTACACTATTTTCATAGTTATAGGTGATATGAACTAAAAATAATATAATCAGAATTAATAAATGTTTCTTTTATTTAAGTTTACAGAAAAATGTAAAATTGTTGTAGTTTAACTTTTTTTTAAATCGGACTAAAAGCAATATACAAAAATTTTGCAGACAAAAATTAAATTTAACTAAAAATTTTTCATTTATAAAAATAAACACAATAATTATGATTTAAAATTAACAATTTTTACTATTTTCGTCAATAATATTTTATTTATATGCATGTATTATTTTTTTATTATTTAGGTTTGAGTATTACTTTAATCAATATATATACATAAATGCATATGTATATACATATATACTTTTGAAATCTGTTGATGTTTTTTCATTTATAAGCAAAACAATTAACAATATGGAGATAAACATTTTTTAAATAAGTTTAATTTTAGTTAGGTTTTATTTAAATTTGTAAATTATTATAAAATATAGAAAAAAAAGAAAAAATAAAATCCGAAAATATTAAAAATTTATTTTGAAATATTTTCTTTTTAAAATAAACTTTAATTTGAACAAGTAATTTAGTTTTTGAATTTATTCAAATTATCACATGCATATTACGAAAATTTTACATTTTTGTCAATTTTAAGGTTTCCCCAGTTTGATTTAACACCAATTAATTTTTATACATACATATATGTATTCGTTTAATTTTATTTTATCGTTTTTAAATAATATTATATTCTTAATATTTACTTCTATTTCAAGATTTAACTTCAAAAATGCATAAGAATTGTTTGTGAACGTTTTTCATATTAAAAAATCACATTTAATGTAATAACAGGCCCTTATTATGCAAAAAATATATTGCACGGTACACGATATTTCTGATAGTTATTGTAATGCTAGTATATGAAATTTATTTATTCGCATTGTATCGGATGATTTATCGTATTTCAAAAGAGCCTTATTTTTGTTATATATTTGCATGTAAACTAGCGTTTATCGTATTAAGAGAAATTAATTTTTGGGATTTCCCGATATATTTTATCGGGTAATTTTTAGTATACGATAGTACACGATAGTGACAAGTAGTTTTTCAGTTAATAAAATTAAAAAAATGCAAGTATTTCCCTATTATTAACATAATTGAGAACTATAAGTTAAGATACATTTTATTTAATATTTTTAGGAACAGAAATGTCAGTCATAAATTTCAACTAAATAGGATAACTGAAATAAAGGACGAGAATTTAGATATTGCAAGAAATGCTTGTTTAAAAACTTCTGCCGATAAATTTTCGATCAAAATTTCCAATAAATTAAATAGTATAGGACCTACCACAAGATATCTCTAACCCTTCTTCGTGTGATTCTTATTTCTTGATGTAGCTCTTTTTCGTTTAAAAAAAAAATCAGTTGACAACATTGTATTATTTTATTCTATTTAAAACAAAACTTGTCAAAGTTTTGAAAAAGTGTGCCACATTTTCTTTATTTTTAAATTTTTCAGAAGACTGTATGAGTTCATATGAATTTTAAATCATTAAATCTGTCAAACAAAATAGAATACACATCAACAAATCTTTTTTTATTTTATTGTTTTACATTTTACTTTAATTTATCAGTTTTATCGGTTATCGGTTGATAATCATAAAATTAGCTAAAACGATAAGGATACGATATATCTATCGCATATCATATATGGCATTTTTTTATAATAAGGGCCATAATTTATTGTCATAAAAAGTTATATGATGTCTGTCTGGGATAAAACTTGAAAAAACTTTAAAATAAGACAATGACGAAATTTCTCGAAAGAAAAATGTTCATTTAGAAAAAAAATAAACCAGACAAAAAACTTGAAAAAACTTTTGAAAACTTTAAAAATATGTGATAAACGTCAAATTTTAAAGTATTTATCAAATATAAATAAATAGTTTTTGGTTATACCAAAAACCGAAAATTTTGATTTTGGATTATAAAAGTGTGAAACTTAGAAAAAGTTATTGTTGATGAAAAATTATTTTTCCAAAAATAAAACCTTCTGACGTAACCAAGAAAAACATGTTTCGACAACTGTAAGATTTGAAAAGTTTTTAAAACACTGAATTTTACTTTACAAAAAGTATTATTTTATTATACTAAATTTTACTTTTTGTTCAAAAAGTATTATCCCAGACCTTTGCATCTAAAAATTTTTTAATAAAGTTTTTTAAAGTTTTTAAAAAATTTCTTATACCAGACAAGCCTATTATTTGAGCTTTTCACCTCAAAAAACCCCTCGTAATAAATTACCAAAAGAAAACTCTCTTTTATTTGGAACCGAATAATTATTTGTTAATACATTCGCACAAAATATTTATTATATAAGCAAATGAATATTTGATTTCGAATTAAAACGAGTTTCCTTGTAATACATTAAAAAAATTTTTAAAATTCGAAAAAATTTAAATTTTTTTGAGCCTCGTAATTATCTTAAATAAACAAAAACTGAAAGGCGCCTCTTGTAACTTTCTTTGACTTTTATTAAATAAAATTGTCACTCTAAATTGTTTTGTTCAAATTCTAAATGAATTTTTTATTTAATCTTAATGGGATTAGGTAAATTAATATGACCAGTAAAAAATTTTGAATTAACATGACTTTTTTCTTAAAATCAAATTTTATTATGAGAAGTTAAATAATAAAATGATTGGATAGGACCGACAACAAGTTAATAAAAAGTGTAGACTTATATACTTTATAATTATAATAGAATATACCTGAATCATGTAATTTAAGATTAGTTTAACTTCATATGTGTAATAAATACATTATTCGCATCTAAAAATTTTTATTACATACAGTGGTACAAAAAATTATTCTTACAAGATTAAGTTGAATGTTTTTTTTCGATTTCCAGATATATTGACTTATAAAAAAATTCTTTTTTTAATAAAATTTGTTTTCATTTATTTATTTTTAATTATCAAAAACATAAAGAACAAAAAAATAACACATACATATGTAAAAAAAAAGAACAAAAACAAATTTGGATCTCATTTTCGAGACAAAATATTATTCGTACAAAAGTAAAATTAAGAGTTTTTTGAAAATAATTTAAGTATTTAATATTTTGTATGATTCCCTTTGGCTTGTATTATGGGTTTAAGACGATTTGGTATCGATTTAATTAAATTTAAAGTTTCATTACCGTCGATTTTTGACCATTCCTCATGTAACCTTTCCTTTAACGCATTTTTATTTGTAATTTTATGTTTTCGGATCCGTATTTTCAACGTGTTCCATAAATTTTCTATCCAGTTGATGTCTGATAATTGTGAGGGAGTGTGGAATTGATTTCTAACATTGTAAAGTAACCATTCTTTGATTCTAAAATGTGATATTTCTTTTTAATATTATCTGAAGTGTGCTTTGGCTCGTTACCTTTTTGGAAGTAGTATTCGTCGGTCAATCCTAGTTTTTCTACACTAGCTACCAAATTACATTTTAAAATATCCAAGTATCCAAATATATCCATTATGTTTGCAATAATTTCCAAATTTCCAACACCAGAGGCTGCCATACACCCCAACAATAAAATACTTCCTCCACCAGGTTTAAATTTGCGTCCAAATTTTTTTTATTCAATTCAGAATTAAGTTTTCTCCACACCATTTGCTTTTTATCTGACCAAAAAATCATAAACTTTGATTCGTCAGAGAAAATTACTTTTTCCCAGAACTCTGGGGGCTTACTAATATAAGTTTTTGCAAGCTCCAACTTTAGCTTCCGGTTTTTTCTGAAATAAATGGTTTTCTTCTAGGTGTTCTAGCGTGAAAATCAACTCTCCGTAAAACATTTCGCACCGTTTCTGAACTAACAGGTTTTTCTATGATTTCCCGTACCTGATTTGTCAGTTCGGGTATGTGGATCTTTGGTTTGCTTTAACCTTACTAATAATAAAATTTTCTGTTGTTTGCGTGAAAAGCTTTTTTCTACCTCCGCCTGTTTAATTTGTTAATATTCCCTCGTGTCTATATTTTTTTACAATGAACTGATTGGATGAGTGGCTTCTTCCAACTATTTTACCCACTTTCCTATAAGTTTTACCTTCAGAGATAAGTTTAATTATTATTTTGCGCTCCTCAAGAGTAGTTTCTTTTTGCTTTCGACTCATATTATTAAATAATGGATAAAAACTGCACCAATCAATGACTTATGTATGAGAACACTTAAATATTGACTAATTCTTATTTATTAATATTGGCGACGAATATATTTTTAAAGATAACTGTAATTATCTGAATTTGTTTGAATTGTACGAATAATATTTTGTCTTGAAAATGTGATCGAAATTTGTTTTTATTCTATAGAGTCAATATATCTGAAAATCGAAAAAAAAACATGCAACTTAATAATTTAACTTAATGGAAATTTAAATTATCAAGTGTAATAGGCACATTACTTATTAATTTCGCAACTATGATGTTGTATTAGTAAAATTCATAATATGCAACTTAATCTTGTACGAATAATTTTTTGTACAACTGTACATTCACATTAGAAACAGTTAAACAGTCAAATATAATGTGAAAATAACCTCAACCAAAATTAAGTTTCCTTTGTTTATTAACAAAGTCATTATACACTGAAGGTGAGTTAAAGCGTTTTAGTTTATTGGAAAAAAATATTTTTTATAAATATGTCACTGTAACATGTATCTTTTTGGTTTTAATCTTGACATAACAAAAATATCAACGCCTGGACCACGGCTGGCAGGCATACAGGCCTTAACCCAAAGAGAGGGTAACAGTTCACAGTTGACGATTTTACACGTACCTATGCTTATAGAAGTTATAGAGGGCCCTTTTTAACATTATTTAATTAGTAAAAATTCAAATTCAACCTGTTTCTACTTTAATACATTCCGTGACTTGTAAACTTTACAATAAAATACATTTAATCAATTATTGATTAAATAATTTAAAGTTCTGTCCATATGTTAATTTTCAACCAATGTAAAGTGTTTTATATTGTAAAAATTGTATTCCAAAATGTATCAAAAGCTTTAGCAGTTTTTTTTACAATGTAAAGGTATTGAAAGCTCTGAGACGGTACTACAATCGTATTGATATTGTACTTAAACTTTTCATAAAGCAGTATTGAAGTCACGGATTCTATAAGTTTTTTGTAACTAAAACATTAAAAAATTGATTTCAAATTTTTTAGAGCCTTCCGGGCTCTGTTCATTTTTTTAAGATTTCAATAATGCTACACTACGAGAAAGAAAAAATTTCAATTATTTTTTACAAAAATGTTAATACAAAATGTTAATATAAAATGCTTACAAAAATGTTAATATAAAATTATATTAACAAGTTTGCTAATTATGTATGATATGTCTCCCACAATCCCTACTTCTTATACAGGGTGATTCAGTAAGGAGTACAATATTATATATCAATGTTTAGGGCAGCCAAAAT